TGCAGAAATGGTGGGGAATACAAGCAGCAGCGACAACGAATCAAAAGAGAAATGTTACCAGATGTGCTATAAGAATGCATTGAGAGTGGGTTGGCAGTCATTCTGATTAGCTCCCCTAATTCTCTTCTTCCATCAATTCTTTGTGGCGGTAAACTGCATTTTCTGCATTACCACTACGAGCCAACTTCACCAACTGCATTAAAGGCAACCCAAGAAGCCATGGTCTAGCAGTTTTTGATACCACCAACCTTTTTGGAAAGTCCAACTGTTGAGATATTGGAAATTAGTTCGATAATTTCAATAAGCTCGTATTCTCCAACCAAAGATATGCTGACAAGAGACTTCAACAAAATCCCAAGCATTCGGACCTGATGCGAACTTTGACGTTTTTATGACTCTTCCATGTAAACTCCTTCATACTTTGTGTCTGCTATTTCTTTTCATCCGGTCTATTTTTCCAGGACAACGTGGCCAGCGCCTCTTCAACTCCTTGCATTATTCCACACCTTTGATTCATTGCCACATATTTGACGTAACTCTCTTCAGCCTGGCTTTTGGGTCTAGCTACTCGTACAGATGGTACAATTGCTTGCATCTGTTTTTGTCAGACGGGTACCAGCGTCGGAATTTAACAAGCTAGTGCGGCAAATCACATGGGTTTGTTGTCTGTTTCCTTTTACACTCATCACATTTGTATCGGGTTCCTTATATCTCACTAGGGCCTAGAATAACTACAAGGTAGTCAGCAAGTTACTCCGCGTCTGTTGCCTACTTTTATGTCAGAACTTTCTCTTAAAATCTCCCATGCCCCACTAGTAACATTTGAAAGTTAAGCTCTCCAGCTACAAAAGGGATCGTTGTGGTCGCCCATTCGTTGCTTGGTATTCAAAGAGAAAGGTGCGGCTCTCGATTTCGTTGTCCTATTCGCAGGAAGTTCCCAGACGATATCCCAGTGACATGGTACCGGTTGTCTTTAATATTAAACTTACCATATTTCATACACATCACCTTGTAATATGGGTTCTATTTAAGCCAGTGAATCAGAAGAGGCAACTACACGCCATTCACGCCGTTTGTACCGTGCCGCGTGGTCCAATTGTGGACACTGCATATGCGCTCTTTCCCTCCTCTGAATTATGATTTGTGTTTCTTTAGAGCTTAACACAGAAACTGTTGACCTTGCTTGTCAAATATTACACATACTTGACGCCCAACAAAGATCCACCATACAACTTGCAGATCGATTCTACATAACACTCATCACCATTTCTTGAGGTGTTCACGTTCTTCACTCCCCCTCCGCCATCCCATTCCCACAGACAAGTTCTCCATTTGTTCGTTCAATCTACAAGATCTCCATCATATAAAGAGAAGAGATTGAACGACATGGATCTCGATGCGGTTTTAGAAGCTCTGCACCAGAATTTATCTGCATCATCTTCTAACACAAGCACAACGGCAGCTTTACTCGGCGGACTCCTACCAACTACCCTTCTAGAAAATCTCGTTCCCGGATATGGCTACATTCACAAGATTGTTTTACAAACCGTTGGTTTTGATATCACGGTCCTTGTTTCTCTCTGGGCTGCTTTATGGCTGGGAAACAAGGCTTTCGATGTATTATATTCATGGGCATGGTCATTCGTGAGATCATACTGGATGTCTGATATCTCTATCAGTAGCAGAGATGAAATTCACGACGAAGTTATAGAATTCCTGGCACACAAGTACCAAATGAAACCTTCTCGCTCTCTTCAGGCAGAAACAGCACGACGGGGATATTGGGACCTAGATAATGAGGACTCAGTCACCTTGACACAGCTTGACGGAACCGGTATTATACAATGGCTCAATTTTGCTGATCAAGATTCCAAGACTAAGCCACAATTTACACCGTCTATGGGAGCTAGTCATACTTTTTGGCATAATGGTAGATACTTCAGGGTTAGGCGATCGGAAAAAATGGTCTTTTCGTCCTCTTCGTATGGCAACCCAGTATCTGACCAACAAGTGCTGCTCATCTCTTGTTATGGTCGTAGCACAACACCTATCAAGGAACTTCTTCAAGAAGCTAAAGATTATTCAAACAGAAATCACAGTGCAAAGACTGTCATTCGTCGACCTGCAAACAAGGAGCGTCGAGCATGGGGAGGTCGAAGCTCTTGGATTGAGGTGGCGAGAAGACCTTGTCGTCCAATGAGAACTGTTGTCTTGGATGAGGTTATGAAAACTAAAGTACTACGTGACATTAACGAATACTTGAATCCTTCTACTGCTCGTTGGTATGCCATTCGTGGTATACCTTATCGCAGAGGGTATCTCTTTCATGGACCTCCAGGAACCGGTAAAACTTCTTTGACCTTTGCCCTCGCTGGCGTTTTTGGGGTGAATATCTACGTTGTTAGCTTGCTAGAGCCTACACTTACGGAAGAGGAACTCGGGAATCTCTTTACCAACTTGCCACCTAGATGCATTGTACTATTGGAGGATATCGACACCGCAGGTCTAACGCGAGTCAATGAAGACAAAGTTGAGTCGTCGGATGAATCTAGTTCCGAGAGCAGCAGCAGCGAAGATGAAGACGAACTGGTCACTAAAAAATCACGAAGAAAGGGCAAGAGCAAGAGCAAGAGTAGACGTAGCAAGGGTAAACGAAGCAAGAAAGGCAAGAAAGGTAAGAAAGATGATGGTGAAAAGAAAGGAATCTCATTATCCGGTCTCTTGAATGTAAGCTCCCACAGTTCTTCACGCATTGAGGAGTCTGAGAATCTGACTGTATTTATAGATTATTGATGGTGTAGCCTCGCATGAAGGTCGTGTCTTGGTGATGACTACCAACCACCCCGAAAAGCTAGACGAAGCTCTCATCCGACCAGGCCGCGTAGATTGTCAGGTTGCATTCACAAATGCCACTCGTCATCAAATCAAAGAAATTTTCGAGAGGATGTACTCTAAAGACCCGCCACGGGAGAAACTTATCGCTACTACCTCACCAGCTACCGAGCCCATTACCCAAAAAACACAAGTTCCTCTTGAAAGAGAAGAAGAAAAAATCCCTCTTCTCACCCCAACTTCAGATCCCACAACCCCAGAGTCGGAGAAGACATATGCAAATTTGATTTCAAATCCACTTGCGGGAAGTCGTCCTCTTACTCCACCAGATACTCCTATCGCCATTATAAGTGAAACTTGTGCCGGGACTGGAACTGAAACAGAAGCTACTACTCCTACGGGAAAGAAGACCCTCACAATAGCTGATATTGAGAAAAATGTTGAAGAAGAAACATTGGAAGAGGGAGAACTTAAGATGTTAGCAAAGCAGTTTTCGGAACATATCGAGGACTATATGTTCAGTCCAGCTGAGGTTCAAGGATTCCTTTTGACAAGGAAAAAGGCGCCTAGAAAGGCTGTTGAGGAGATTGGTTCCTGGGTACAGGTCACGAAAAAGAGTAAGGTGGAGGGTCAAAAGTTCATATAGGTGTACTGGGGGTGGGATGAAGAGGTGGACTGATGGGGGGAGTGAATCATTATCGGTGTGTTTTACGAAGTGCAATTGGGCACCTTCTCGGAAACTTGATGATTCATGAGACGCAGTGTACTATACATACATAGTTTGGACACGAGAAAGGAGGATTGATGAGAAAGAGAAAAACGAGAAAAAGAGAGAAGAAACAAAACAACAAAAAAAGAGAACGGTCAATGGAGGGAGATGACCTCAGCGACACGATACACGACTTTTTTTAATCAAAATGGAGGGAATCCCGTTGCTTCTTTAGTTCGCATACTTTGCTTTGCTTTGCATTTCCATTCTTCATCATCGGGTGAGGATGGTGTTCTTCATTAACATTTTATTTTATCATTAACGTCGGCGGCACGCAGCATTTCCTATTTATTCAAGCTATTCATCCTATTTACAATGAAACAGTGGGGTGTTTCGTCTACTAGTGGATACTCACTTACTGGATATCCAAATTTGCAAGACATGACTTTTCATTTTTCTATTTTTTAACATTTCTTTCAACATACAAAAGGGGCTTGGAATGGGGAGGGATGGGGAATGAGTGAACGTAGCGTTTTGCGGGTAGCGGGTAGTGAGTTCGCTGGCGAGAAATATGCATTCGGGGTATGGGTGAGAGCGGGTTCAAAATGGGAAAGGAAAGGAAATGGGAAGAAAAAGGGAGAGAAGAGCATAGGTGAAGTGACTGAATCAAACAGGAGACGAAGCGGGAGGTGCAAACGGAGGTGGGACTGCAAAATGGAGCTCTCCTCCGGGGTTATGGGGTATGTCTTTTGGGGTATGGGGGTGGAAAAGGACTTGTATATGATTAATATTCGTAGTTCTTGATAGTCAGTCTAATTTGATGCGTTGGTTTTTATACACACGGTTTTGGGATTGTGAATTTTGTGTGCTGCTGATTTACTTTGTGTAGTACTTACTACATAGATTGAGAAATCTCTAGCTGATTCTCCTATATGAATACATCATATCTACATTCCTACTCAGAGCAAAGCAGTAAAGGAACCTTGTCATAGATGGAGCTTAATAGAATAATTAATAAATAGATCCTTGGATGAATATTCGGTTAGTGATTAATCGGGTTTGCAGTGTTGATCATATTCTATTTGATATTATAGTGAGGATTGATTATGTATGGGCAGTAGATTGATCATTGAGGTTATGTATATATGTGTATGTATATATGTATGTGATATCTTCTAGGGTCATTTGCATAGATACCTAGACTGGGTATGAGAGTGAAGATTAGGAATTAGTCCTATCCTATCGTATCCTATTATATCTAGGCAGGCTTGGAAATAACTAATGTGGATAGCTGGCATCTTGGGGCAATACTATAGGTGATATCTAGATGATGTTGAGATTTTGATGATGTGGATTTTCTTATTCTGATAAAAGAGTTGGTTAATCCTCGGATTTCCTTCCAGATGTTCTGAGAACTCTATACATGTAATAAAAAAACTCCAATTATAAAATCTCATCCTTACTTCCCACTCCCATCCAACCCTCTCAAATGTCCCAACACAGCACCCAATCTCCTCAGCGCTTTTAAATTCCCCTTCTCGTTCCCCTCTCCCCCATCACCCTTCTCCTCTTCGACTTTTAATTCCTCTCTCGCTTCTCGGACTAGCGGTATTAATCCCCCCCATACTTCATCAGTATACCCTTCAGTACACCCTCCCAATCACTTTTCCACTCTTCTTTCGCCTCTCCTCTTATCCCTTTTTTTATGTCCCCATGTTTCTTTTCTTTCCTCACTCTCCATTCTATTCCCTGGAAATTTAACACTTCGCCTTCAAACTCATCATCATCATCTTCTTCTTCTCTGTGCATTTCTCTTTCCCTCTCTCCTCTCCCTCTCTCCTCCGCTTCCCTCTCATGCTCCGGAAACAAATTCAGCGAATTCTCCACATCAATACCTCCATGTACCACCCCCCCTCCATTCTTCACCTCCTCCGGAAACAAACCCCTCGTAGCCTGTATAATCCTATCCCGTTCCACAGAACTCATACCCATCCATTCTCTCTCGTAGGCTTTCATATCCTCTCCCTCTATCTCCATCTCGCTCATTCCCCGATCCATCCCAGCAATCTCCTCATCAAAAGAAGCCCCTCCAATTCTCGATAGCAAATCGCGCACTTCATCTCCATCTCTACTTTCCTGTTCTTGCACGGATATATCGTGGTGATCGGTATTCATGTTCCCTGCATCTCTATGAGAAATCGCATTCACAACTTCTCGACGATGTTCCCCCGCCGTCATTTTATCTGGATGAAAGGCCGGCAATGGCTCGAAATGGTAGATCGTTGATTCTCGTGCATTTACAGCGCGAGACCCATAATAACCCTCACGTTGATCGTTGCCTCGTTGTGCAGATCGAGCCCACGAGTCTTCGAGAGCTTGTTTCCCCACTGTATTCGAAGGAGCGCCGTACGGAATATTCTCGTACATCCCATAGGAAGATCCCGAAACACCATCCCTAAAGCCCGAATCACCCACGGGAGTAAGAGAAGGAAGCCCATCCAAAAACTCAGAAAATGCATGCTCATTCTGCTGTATCCATCTCGCTCTTTCATCCCCTCCAACGACATTTCCATTCGATTCTCCACTCCCTCCAGCTCCCTGAAAACCACTCCCACTAGTCCCCACATTCCCCGCGCTCCTCATCCCAAGAGTATCCCCAACACCCCCAGACATCGAAGATGATCCATCCGTTAACCTAGGATTTCCCCTGTGCGTTTGCGTATACCCTACATCTCCATTTCCATTCCCCCCCACGATTGCACTCGTACTTCCCTCTTTCCCATTCCCAGCCGCTACAAGTAACCCCTGCGCATCTCTCCTCAACGACTCTCCTCCAACACCAGCTCCCCCCGCAAAAACATCTCGACCCAATCCTGCTGCCGAAGCTCCAATACGGTTGAGAAGAGAGGGAGTAGATTGTTCATCTTGTCGACTGGGTGTATCGTTGGAAGTTGTTTGCGCTGGAGGTACAGATGTAGAGGAAGTAGAAGCAGAAGCGGGAGATGGATTGAGAGCCTTTCCTTTCCCTTTCCCTTGTGGATCGCTTGAGGACATGATGTGATGTTTTCCGATGTTGAGATAATAAGGGTGTGATATTTAATTATCGATGTGTTGTTTGAATAAAGTGATATGATGTGATGAGATGGTATAATTTAATAATCTTATATCATCCGATATAACTAGATAAATCAAACCATACACACAAGTATACAATTCTTTCCAAGGTTCTTTAATAAATCAATATCACAGAATCGATCAATCAATCGAAAAACCAAAACACAAAAATGTTCACCCAACTTAAATATCGTAGTCGTCATTAGTACTCTAGACGATTAATTAATTGATTGGCATAAATAAATCATCAAGTTAAGTTTACCTACCTAGTATTTAGCTCCCCTCCGTATATCATCATCACCCCCCATTGACTCTCTTCCCTCTAGCCTAATCCATTACCGAACAATCCCGCATTCCGGAAACGCTCCCCCACCACATCTCCTCGGTTGAAACTACCTCGTTCGATCATCCGCCATCTGACATCTGACATCTGACATGTGACTGTGCTCTTGACTCTTGGCTCTCGTTAAAACAAAGGGCCTGTAAATTGGAGAGGAAGTCGCACACAAATGTCAAAGAATCTATCACTCGACCACTTAAACTACCGATGAACAAATGGAATTATGATCTAAACGTCAAACATTTAAGCACATTGGCCAGTAGTCATAGCAAAATTCAAATAAAGATATTTTATTCAACAACCACGACGACACCTTATAAACGGGTACTACAACTTGGCACGCCAAAAAACCGCAGACGACAACAACAGATATCATACTAATCCACTCCAATTCCCAACCGGCTATGCTACAATCCACGCCCCTTCATGTCCAGCTCAAAGATTCATAGATCATTCCTGATCTTGGAGTCATATCCATGTTCATCTTTAATGATCTTCTTCTCCTCTCCCGACCTTTGCCTTTCCTTTTCTCGGTCGCTTGTCGTATAAGCACCCCTTTAACCCCTAGCCAGATCCTAAGCCATTACTCCATGTGCAAATCTGAACATCTAGTATACACGCTTGAATGGTGGGACAGCCTTGCACTCATTCTCATCCAAGGTGTGGCCTACAACAGCTCTGTAGGTCAAATCGGTCTTTCCTTGTGGCTTCTTTTGGAAGGTCAAAGAATGCTTCATCCATTCCTTATCATCTCTCTCTGGGTAATCTTCACGAGCATGTGCTCCACGAGATTCCTTTCTAGCGGCAGCTGCCTCGGCGGTTTGAACACTGTATAAAATTAGTATATAATTCGGTAAGTTCCGGAAATATACGCAGGGAAAACTTACGCGCAAGTCAACAAGTTTCTCAATTCTAAAGTCTCAACCAAATCCGAGTTCCAGATCATGCTTCTGTCTTGAGTCTTAATATCCTTGAATGTTTGATCAACAGCGTTAATCTTTGTGACACCTTCATCCAAACTCTCTTGAGTTCTGAACACACTGACGTCTGTCTGCATAGTCTTTTGCATGGCGAGACGGACTTCGTGTGTGCTCTTGGTACCATCAGCAGTTCTAATTTGGTCAAGAACACTGATAGATTCAGCACCAGCGTCAGCGCTGATCTCCTTGTGTGGCATTCCTGGTTCGAAGTTATCGCGAATGGTGTGGGATACAGCACGACCGAAAACGATCAAATCGAGAAGTGAGTTGGCTCCGAGACGGTTGGCACCGTGTACGGAAACACAAGCAGCTTCACCACATGCGAAAAGACCTGGTACGACCTTATCCTTACCCTCAGCATCAACAGTGAGAACCTCACCAGTGTACTTGGTTGGGATACCACCCATGTTGTAATGGACTGTTGGAAGAACTGGGATAGGTTGCTTTGTAACATCGACACCGGAGAAAATGGATGCGGTTTCAGAGATACCTGGGAGACGTTCATGGAGAACATCAGGTGGAAGATGACTGAGTTGAAGATAGATGTGATCCTTTTCTGGACCAACACCACGTCCCTCCCTGATTTCCATGGTCATTGATCTAGAAACAACGTCACGGGAAGCCAAATCCTTGGCGGTTGGTGCGTAACGTTCCATAAATCTTTCACCCTGAGAGTTGAGGAGATATCCACCCTCACCACGAGCACCCTCAGTAATCAAGCAACCAGCGCCATAAATACCAGTAGGATGGAATTGAACGAATTCAAGATCCTGGTTAGGTAACCCGGCACGAGCAACCATAGCCATTCCATCACCAGTACAAGTGTGTGCGGATGTACAACTGAAGTAGGCACGTCCGTAACCACCGGTGGCCAAGACAGTGTTGTGTGCGCGGAATCTGTGGAGGGTACCATCTTCTTGGTTGTATGCAATAACACCCTTACATTCTCCATCCTCCATGATCAAGTCGAGCGCGAAGTATTCGATGAAGTAGTTGGTGTTATGCCTTAAGGATTGACCATAGAGAGTGTGGAGAAGTGCATGTCCAGTTCTGTCAGCAGCTGCGCAACATCTGTATGCTTGTCCACCCTTTCCGAATTTTTGTGATTGACCACCGAAAGCACGTTGATAACTAGATAGACATTCTTAGTAAAATACCACAAATGAGCTACCAGAGTCATTCTTACATCTTGCCGTCATCGGTTCTTGAGAATGGGCAACCGTAGTTCTCCAACTCAATGACAGATGCTGGCGCTTCTCTTGTCATGTAATGAATAGCATCTTGATCTCCCAACCAATCCGAGCCCTTGACGGTATCGTACATGTGCCATCTCCAATCGTCCTCGTGCATGTTACCCAGAGCAGCATTGATACCTCCTTGCGCGGCTACCGTATGCGATCGGGTTGGGAAAAGCTTTGATATGCATGCAGTGTTGAAACCAGCCTCGGCAAGACCGAATGCTGCTCTTAAACCTGCTCCTCCAGCACCGATGACAATAGCATCATATTCGTGATCCTGCGCCAAATAATCAGACACAACCCTTCACTAAAAATTCGAGATACGTACAACGACCGGGTATTTATTGCTCACGAAAGGCGAAGCTTCCTTTGCTCTTAGTGGCGCATGTGTAATGATTCGAGCTGCAGATTGGATATTAGCCAATGGTCTGAATATTGAAAGTTGTGGCAGATCTACCTGCAGGTCTCGTCGATGAGAAAGATCTAGTTTGATTCTTCAGTGCCCTCGAGAACTGCAATCATGGCCAACAGATTAGCATTGTTATTCTTCTTTTCTTCTTCTGTTCTTACCACGAACGCGGGGCCCGAGGTTAGAGAATGGAACATACCGAAGGACCAGATGTGAATCTACGCATAGCAAATGAAGACATTGTGTAGAATTATTATGGATAGAAAGAAGAGGGGAGAAGAGTGTGCAACACCAGAATTAATATCTTTCTCTTTCTCTACTATGGACCTTTTTAGAGAATGGCAATGGAGGCAACTCAGGTTAGTCCAAGGGCGTTTCCAAATCTTCAAATTCGGGATTAAACCATAACGATGATGGCTCGATGCTCGCTTAGTCAGGAGTTTTAATCAATCGAACCAATCAGAGAAATCTATTTCCAATTCTGGTCATTGAATGTTCCGACCACGAGTAGCCGAAAGCCGGGAAAAAACGTATACACCAGAATCTGCCAAACTGCAACGTTATTAAGAAGCCCTTTGCTTCAATCCGTTGTGATAATTCTGTCAAGAGCCCAATATCTTCAAGATCACCCTTACTTCTATACCAAGAGGAAACGCATCGTCTCATCCAATTTTCAACCAAAAATATTGAATGGTTGGATTGTCATCAATTTCCACACAGAAGATCGATATGGTTTTATGGTTTGGGCCTTTGCACATCTAGGCAAATTTCGTATTCGGGAATGGGGCAAGGAAAAACCGGCAAGACCCTCACCTGAAGTGGAGACTTCCCCCAAGGTATCCTCGAGTAACATCAACAAGACAGTTTCGCCTCTTATACCACCAACATCATACTTTATCTCGATATTTGTAAGCTTCCGAACATCGACATCATGACAGCTAGCATCTGGATCTGAAGCATCGAGCTGTAGTCGCCTTCAGAATGGACCCATTCAACAACGAGGACACCAAGTGGTTTTATCAAACACCGGAATTAGTTTTTGCCGCTTTTCCAGAGGAATTCTGCTATAGTTTTCTCATACAATACTAAGTGTAGCATAAAACGGTAGGGTAACAACAAATCAATGCAATATTTGCCAATTATTCTGCCTCCACGACAGTGGCTCCCGGAGGGCTAGCGGAGCGTCATTCCAATCATTTGATTCATTTCTATTCATGGGGACAAGCTCATATACATATATATGATCTGCACAGTGCCTTCATTCACATGGATGCTCTCTTGAAGTCTCATCTAGACGGTAAACCTGCACGTTACCATTATATATCATATATGTGTGCTTCTGGAACCATTTATCTGGGATGATCTGAGTGGTACAAAATATGTTATGGTTGTTTCATGCCCCAGCATTCGGCAACATGCAGCGCACCAGACGGATAATTTGATATTTTTCTTGGCACGTCAGTCTACCGCAATCCTTCTTTTCACTTGTGGCAATGAGGTTGAAATTCCCTTGTATATATCACAAGTTATAAGATGTCAAGCCTCCTTCCCCACAGTTTTGCCGGCAGAGTACCTCGTGGTCATTTCGAAAGTATGTGATGAACAGGATGAATACCGGCAGAAAGTCTGTACGCTGCCGACTTGTATCAAAATATATTGGGATTTAATAAAATTCCATCCTTCATGTATCACGTTCTCCGGGAAGACCATCCGTATAATTTACAATAGTGAGAATATTGCTCAAACGACCAAACGGATAATGGCCTGCCTGTCCTTCAAAAACTGGAGAAATCTTGGCTCCTTCCTTTCGTCTCCCAAAAATGCATACTTCTCCATTTCCCGCCGAGTAGTTTGGTTTAATTCATCCGGCACTTATCACGAAATTTTAATGGCTACTAGGCATGCTCTTCTTGAACCTGTATATAGGTAGGATCGTCTGCCCATGTTAGAAAGCCTTCTCTGAGATCACTCCCTATATACATTTCCAGGAAAGTTTTGTGAAAAGGTACCAATATGCGGTTCTCGGGTCTACTCTATGGCATTATTGCCATTGCTTCTTATGGTTGGTTTTATACCCCAAAATATAATACTCACACACACATTCTAATAACTTCTAGCCGTTCGTGAGGTATCAAGTCAAGATTTCGCGGCGCATGGCTATTATACCGAGCCGAATACTGGCATTACATTCTATACAAGTACCGAAGCTAATGGCACGATCGTGGGTGATGGGGAGTTCTCTTTGGTTTCACAAGGGGGTTACACCTTTGGAATGGCATTGCCACCCAGTGCACTCACTACAGACTCCTATGATTACATTGGCTTGATTGTAAGTTCCATACATTGCCTCAATGGTCCAACAGCTAATTGAAAACAAGATTGGATCACTTCCAAATGGTACAGGATGGAGTGGTGTTGTTCATGGTCAACAACTCAGTGCTGCAATGCCTGGACATTTGCTGTTGATTGCTTGGCCTTATAATGGCAAAATAATTACTTCATTCCGTTATGGGTAAGTCCTTTTATGTACTTTCATATCCACATCCATCGCATGCAATAAGCTAATAGATCTTAAATAGTTCCTATGCCACACCCGTGCTATATGGCGGGTCTGCAAGTGTAACGCAGCTTTACACCTCGATAAATTCCACACACTGGGTTCTCGTTTACAAATGTACAAACTGCTTCAAGTTCGATGATCCAACTCAAACAGCATACAATGTTAGCACATCGGCAGGTGGCTTCGAGTACGGGTGGGCTCAAAACATTGGCGCTCCAGATAACCCTTCCGATCCTGCTAATGCGGTTTTATATCGTAAGAATTTTGTTTAATTTGACATCTTTTGGAATTATTAACAGTAGTTGCGTGCATTTGGTGGCACATACAATACAGTTTCCTTTGAAAGCTACCTTCTGCTATATATTTACTAATAGCTGCAGAGCACAATAATGGCATGGGCGAGTTTTCCATCAAGGTGGCTTCTGCAACCCAGTCATCCTATTCAAACTGGGCTACGATGACCGCCACTATCACAGCAACCACCGGTACAGCCACTGCGACAGCCACTTATTCTACATCACCGATACCGACTTCCACATCCTACGATTATATTGTCGTTGGCGGAGGGGTACGTATGGTTTCTTTTTACAGTGCTTTCTTGTCATTGAAGAGAGAAGTCATAAGATTTCATTTTCTTATGGGTTCTTGGACTAGCTCTCGTGTCGTCATTTTGTTTGTGCGAATATTTGAAATGTGCATACTGAAATTGTTTGCTCTAGGCTGGAGGTGTACCGATGGCAGATAAACTTGCGCAAAGTGGAAAGTCCGTGCTCTTGATCGAAAAGGGGGTCGCTTCTTCAGCCAGATGGGGTGGGAGTAAGTACTAGGATAATCTCAGTATTGTATCCGCTAACAATGCTTAGCAATTCGACCGGAAAGTGGTTGGCTTTCTGGAAGTAATCTTACGTGGTTTGATGTTCCGGGAGAATGCAATAGGATCTGGCACGGCGGAAGTGTTGGCGTCGCCTGTGATGATATCGATCAAATGGCTGGATGCGTTTTAGGTGGAGGTACTGCCGTCAATGCAGGTTTATGGTGGAATCCAGATCCATCAGATTGGGATTACAACTTCCCCCCTGGGTGGCAATCAAAAGATGTAGCAGCCGCCACCTCGAGAGTCTTCAGCACGATTCCCGGCACGGATCATCCCTCAATGGATGGTAAACTATATGTTCAATCAGGATATAATGTTGTTGCAGGTGGTCTCAAAAATGCTGGCTGGACAAATGTTACGGCGAACAGTGTACCGGCTCAGAAGAATCGAACATTTGCATATGCACCATACATGTATATCAATGGAGAGCGTGGTGGTCCACTAGCAACTTATCTAGTGGATGCAAACAAACGCTCGAACTTTCACATGTGGCTCAATACTAGTGTCAAGAGAATTGTTCGTGATGGAGGACATGCAACTGGTATAGAAGTGGAAGCCACAAACAATGGAGGCAGACAAGGAGTAGTCAGCCTGACTCCAGTCACAGGTCGAGTCATAATATCAGCCGGTGCTTTCGGAACTCCCAAGCTCCTTTTCAGAAGTGGAATAGGTCCCACAGATCAGCTAAATGTGGTCCTTACCTCCACCGACGGACCAACAATGATAAACTCCAGCTACTGGTACAACCTGCCAGTCGGTTATAACCTCGACGATCATCTCAATACCGATACACAAATCTCGCATCCGAATATCTCCTATTATGATTGGGTTGCAGCATGGAATACACCCATAAGTGCAGACGCTACCTCCTACCTTACCAAACGCACCGGTCCTCTCGCCCAAGCAGCTCCCGACATCGGCCCCATATTCTGGGACCAAGTAACTCCCGGCGACGGAATTCCCCGCGCCATTCAGTGGACTGCCCGCGTCGAAGGCGACGTTCCCACCGCCATGACTCTCTCCTCTTATCTTGGCCGTGGTCAAGTCGGTCCACGAGGACGTACAACAATCAGCAAGGGCCTCACAATGTCCGTTTCTACCATGCCTTGGGGAAACACATATGATCTCGCAGCAGTAGCCACAGCTATTGATCATGTGGTAGCCGCACTTTCAACAGTCAAGAATCTCACATTTATCTATCCAAAACCGGGGATGACGGGTGCACAGTACGTGGCGAGTGTACCGCTTACATATGCAAATATCGGGGCGAGAAGAGCAAACCATTGGCTAGGAACTGCGAAGATGGGAACGGATTCGGGATTAGCAGGAGGTACTTCTGTGGTTGATCTCAACGCGCTTGTTTATGGCACGGATAATATTCACGTGGTTGGTATGTATCCTATTTCTCTCCATCTCTTTCGTCTTTCCTACAGAGCAAATCCCCAATTTTCCTCATGAGTAAACATCCACTAATCAATCCAGACGCATCAATCTTCCCCGGCATGCCCTCCACAAACCCCTCCTCTCTCATTGTCATCGCAGCCGAACACGCGAGCCAGAAAATCCTCGCATTACCGGTACTCAAAGCGCTTCCGCGATACGCACAATGCGGAGGTCTGAGTTTCGATTATACGAAGGGTGGTTCGTGTGCCGCGCCTTATAAGTGTATGGTTGGAAATTCGTATTACTGGCAGGTAAGTTTGAACTATTATTTTCCTTTCTGCTTTGTGTGTGATGCGATGAGGTTACTTGACTAACAAACCCATCACACAGTGTCTCTAAATTCCTTGAAATAGATGAGGAGATGCACGAGGAAGACTAGGAGAAATAGTGGCAGATACGAAGTTTATAGTTTACATTTCCGCTTCTTTTCTTTTCTTTTCTTTTCTCTTCTCTTCTACCTCCTCTATTGTACATAGTTCTCCAATCTCAATCTCAATCTACATTTAAATCTCCACCTATCTCCCATTTCTAAATCCATACCGGTGTACCGGTTACAGAAATCACACCCCGCAGTAACCTTAACACCCATCTATCGCTACCCTAGGTACCCCACGCAATGCAATGCAATAATGACATTCTACAGAGTACCCCATCCAAATTCTATTTAGCCTATGCACCCCAGATCACAATATCATCTTTAAAATCTAGAATGCTTAATTGCATGTCCCATCATGCGAGTCTACATAGAATACCTAAAGGCACAATTCTCCGGGATGCATGGGGTGTGATGAGTGAGGGTGTGATATGTCGTGTGGTGTGGTGGTATTTATCAACTCTCGGGATTCAGGACCGTAGGATCGCTTTCCTTTTCTCCTTGTATGGTACCTTGTATGGTAGGTAGATTTGGATTGTTTTTTTTGTTTTTGTTTTTGTGGAAAATGGAAATGGAAATGGAAAATAAGAAATTAACATGTGGTGATTATAGGTAATTCTAGGTAATGATGTATCTATTCTACATTCTTGGTTTGTATGGTATGTATGGTATGATATTTGAGTACCTATGTAATCTTATATTAGTAAATAAACCGAACTTGGAGCCTGGAAAGGAAGGTCGAGAGAATTGGAAAAGGGATGGAATTCATTTATCATTTATCCGGGATTTTAGCATAAAATGCGGGGGGTGATGGGGGGTTGAATGGGAGGTTGGAGAGGAATGGAGAGGGAGGGGGAATTGGAGGGCGGATGGAAGTGAGAGATTGGGATGAGATGGGTATGAGATGGGTATGAGATGGAAAATTGTGAGTAAGTTTAATTTTAGTGTGTAGATTGGAGAGGATTTTCTGGGGTATGTGTTTGGTTGGTTGGTAGGTGGATTGATTTGTTTTTTTGGGGAGGGGGGTGGTGGATGGGATCGGGGGAGGGGAGAGGAGAGAGAGGGAGAGAAGAAACTGGTGGGATGGGATGGGTTGGAATGGATTGAGATCGTGAATTGTGCGAGGGGGGTGTACGGTTTATCCAAGAGGGAAGTATAAGATACAAACGCGAAGTGTGGTAGATCTATTATTAACGACTGTAAGAATATTTATATGAAAGCATGAGAAAATGAATAAAAGAACAAATGAAGAATCGCAACTAGAAACCTCAGCAGATGACAAGAATGCAGGTCTGTATACATACAAATACTAATACTAAATATCCTTCCAGACTTCCTTTACAAGAACTTGCATCTCATATCTTCAACGCGATAACGTCTTCACTCAACACTGTTAGATTCCTACCTATCTATACAATATCTAGATGGGTAAGATCTTACATATAGATAAATATCAAAGTTGGAACTTGATGTGTTAGCTGAAAGATATACACAGCGTTCTGATGAAGAGCTTTCTACCCTTTTCATCGTGGTTACAAGGCCATCCATACTTTCTGAATCTTTTAGCAATAGCAAAAACCTGGTGGTGAACTCTTCAACTGTACTGTTCTGTTTCTCTTTCTGATATTTATTTTGCTCCGTAGAAGTAACTTGTACTCTGATCTATTGGATCTCGGAAATAGTTTCATCGCGTGAGATGTCGAGAGTGATGCAAATTCTCAATCTTTGTTACAGAAAGAAAACAATCTTCTTCCCTTGAGCTAGGTACTTTGAGAAAACTGGCTGGAACTACTGGGTTGTATTGTTGGACGAGGTGAGGGTTTGGTGTAGTAACTGTGTGGTCTGAAAAGTATCAGAACTATATAGCATTTTGAGAGGCGAAAGCACATACATGTATATTTCGTGGAATGCTGAGTCTCAGAGAACTTCTAGAGCTGTGGTACTCTTGGGATATTGAGAGACATTATTCGATGTCATGGCGAATGTTTACTTTCGAGGAGAAAGTTGATGTTGTCTTTAATGCTTTATACATCTCTCGAAGGGATATTGCATTATGTTCTTCCTTGACCTCCTCAATCCTCACTTCCTCAGCCCATTCAGTTCTCACAATGCAGAACCGAACCCCATTCCGAGAGATAACACAAATGATCCAAAGTTCCTGACATACCTAAGTATATAGAAAACTCTGAATACCGCGTAGCATAACTTCACTCCCATCACATTATCTTGCTATTCATCCAGCCGTCCCATCTTCCTCATAACTTACACCAACAGTCTCCTCTCATCATTCTTCAACTCATCTATTGCCCGACCCATAACATTCTCCTCACCACATTAAATTATACTGCCACCACTTTCAACTAAAAAAACCAATCAGTCCTAACTTCAAACTCAAATCCAAACCCCTAGCTCTCACTTCTCCTCTTCCATTTCTTAAACTCTTCCCACCCGACAACACCACAACACCTAACAATATAATACCATTCAAGAATCAAGCCTCATCTATAACCCATCCCACCCGATACAAGAAAATATAGACTTTCCTCCCTCCAATCCCGGTCTCAGTCCCAGTCCCAGTAACCCCCCCCCCCAATAAACGCCAAGAACCTTAATTTTCCTCTCCTCTTACCACAACCCCCCCCCTGTTTATTCAGTCGAAAAAACACATGTGAGGGAATCCAAATCTCACGAGAATAAACAAAAGAGGTTCTCTCTGAGAAATCTGATCGTTATCTTAGAAGTACCTAGGTAAGCGTTACCTTCAGCTTCCGATGACGATTCTGATCAGCCAGCCTGCACATTTTTCATTTCATGACAGTATCTGAAGACCCAAGACACGAACATTGAAGTGAGTATGTAAAACGAACACTCTGAAACGAAAGTATATAGACTACCTCGAGACTCGCACATTCCCTCCAACAATCTCCCTCAAAACCCCACAACGATCAAAACCATCACCACTAGATGAACAGCTTCTAAATAAGCATAACAAACAAACCGCTCCCCATCTCCATCATCAAAGCAATTGGCTTTCCTATTTCCTCTCCCGCTACCAATCCAAAGAACAATCCAAAGAACCATCCTCCAAAACACCTTCTTCAATCTCCTACGATCTATCACTAGTAATGGCCAACATAGTCAGCAACGAAGCTCTCCAAATCGCATCTCAAATCTCCGCCTTCCAAGCTCCCGTCGACGCCGCTCAAGAAGAACTGAACACCCTCTCAACCGCCAAACGCAGTCTCGAAATGTCCCGCACAGAACTAATGAATCTCGACATCGGCACCAGCAAAATCAGCCACTCAATCGAGGAACTCGACTCCCGCATCGATTCGAAAACGCCGCGTCCGAATACGCAGAGGAAAAAACTAAACTCCAAAGAGAAGATCCAGCCGCTTCGCGCACAAATCAAAAGCGTGCATGTGAATATGGAAAATCCAGTAGATGAGGTCAAAACGCAAATCAAAAGCATGCCGTTGGCTTCCGATTCGATAAACATGGATGTCCGGAATTTACCAATGATACGAATAGTCAAGAGTGGAAATCGCTGGCGAGTAATGTCTCCGCATATGTATCGGCCACGATGAAATGGCTTGGCAACGATGTTGCGGCGCAGATGAATCGAGCTGCTGCAAATCAGATTAGTGATCAAGTATCCAAACATAGTACTTCGGGTACTCTTGTGATTTCCGTTTCTTGTACGCATAAGAATGCATCCGTTCTAACTCCCTTCGCGCTTAATGTCGACAGAGCAATTAAAGTCTAGAATCGTCTTTTTAAAGGCGAAAAGATTGTCCCGACTAGCACAAGCAATATGTTGCAACTTGCTCAACAGGACGAATCCAATTCTCCCGATGCTAAGAAATTCAGCATCATTTCAGGAACGTCGTTTGGATCCAGTTTCATGGGTACGGTGCATATCTTGAATAGTACAAGCACGATGGCCGGCCAGTGACAAGATAAACAGCGTGGTGAAATCGCTTCAACAACAAATGGATCTTGCCAAGTTCTACGAAGGTCAAGCTGGCGGGTTTGTTTGGCGCAAACTCGTTTATGGCAAACAGCGTCAAAAGTCTGCTCAGTTCCCAGAATATTGATTCTCGCGTGACCATGATCTGCATGGGAGCTATTCCCTCTATGGTGTCCAACGGCGTCAAACCGGGTGTTGAAAAATTTGCCAAATTCGATCCTCAATCAAGTCTTGACGGACGAGCAGCCCTACAAAACGCTACCCAAGCCAATAAAGGCACAGTTTCGCAGGCGGCAGAGGCAGCGCGCACAGGTGCCCAAATGATGTCCATGAAAGCCAGCGACGTTAAATCCTCCCTCTCGGCTCTGGCAGAGATAGATGATGGTTCGAATACGATTATCGATATCAATTATATGATGACTGCACTTGAAGATTATCTCAAGAAAGCTGCAGAAGGTACTTCAGGTGTCCCGATCAATTACTAGTTGAAAGATATTTCAAAGAGTATGCTTGCAGAAATGTGGGTGGCTAAATACTATCCTGGAAAGTATATGGCTATTTCATATGATGATGTAGCTCCATCATCGGAACCTCCGGGTGCTTCGGCGACCGGAGGAAGCTCCGCCGAACAGACTGCTGCTCCAGCGGCGGAATAGCTTCATGAAAGTTAAGATTGTTCTACAGTCAAAAAATCGGGTTGGATATTTCGGTATGATATCAAAGATATATGCAATGTTTTAAGTACATAGAAACGATAGAAATAATTTAGCAATTTAATCCATCATCAATGATTACAAAGATTGATTTCCGTTCTGTTTACAAACATCCACTCAAGGTCCATCGGTGATATCTCACAAGCTTGAATTATAAGTAATCTGAGTTCCAAAGTAGAAAAAGAAAAACAATTTGGAAACAGTTTAGCAACTCTCCCTACATCCAGTTTCCACTTTTGAAGAATGACAAGGCGCTCTCTTGATATCTAGTATGTGCATTAGTATAGTGTAGTCAAAGGATCCACTTAGTGTCGATTCTACTTATTGATCAATCCTTAGGAAAATAAAAACAAAGGTGGGCTGACAATAAGAAATGTTGAGCATAAAAGACTGTGATAATTCACTTTTTAGTTTTGATTGGATCAGGTGGAATGGTGAAATGGGTAAGGGTTTGGAAAGAGGGCTTGCTTGATATAATTTTCTTGGATTCTGGTTTGAAGGTTATAGAAGAGCCAGTAAAGAATGGAAGGATAAACAAGCTAGTGTGTAATCATCTAATTTTTATGAATAAATGAGTTCATAATGTCATTTCGTTCGCATAGATTTTCGTTGAATGGTCACTCCAGAGATTGAAAATACATTGTTAACCCTCAACTAGAGAGAAAGGTTCATACTCTCATAATTTGCCAAGTCATTGATGGAGCCTCTTGGAATCACAGTCAAAAGATCCCTCAGCAGTACAGTCTGGGGGAAAAAAGAGCTCAAATATCCAAGCAAACAATGCTTTGCCTCAAGAAAGACAACTCATGTGTACGTTTTTGTATGCAGCTTAGTTAATTTGGCAGAGACTCCCATTCAGACTTCAGCCAATTCTTGTTCTGTCCCAGTGAAAATAAAGGCAACCTGCCTTGGTATCCTTATCGATGTAGTTGATCTGAATCCATAATTTAGAGAAACTAAGGTAGGTGATAATTGACATGGTAATGATACGTCATCACTTGCTAAAGTGATGTTCATGATTGGACGTGAAATGAATGGAACCATCTCTGCCCTATGATGTGTGAAACTTTCCACAGCTACCTGAAACATTGTGTGAGAATCATCTGTGGAAATCATAGTCCATGGAGTAGTATGAGGCTGCTTTGGCACATGATTGATGCCGGGTTATTGCAGGTGCCTACATTCTGGTTCAAGAGCCCGATAGACGGCTGGCTGCATGGCCTAGATGGAGAAGTATCGTATGTCCAGATAAGATGAGTTGTACAAATGATGGGCGATCATCGGAGGGCTGAGAAACAGATGTTGAGAGGGCAGATATTTGTGTAAGCCCTATGGTGGAAGTACAAACACAAGGTGGGTTCGTTTGATATGTAGTGAATCTTCTGCTTAAGTTCTTACAGCATATAAGCATGGCCACAAAGAGGAGGATTTGCTGTTGTGCCAGCTGACAAAATGAAAAGTAGTGATGAGAGAAGAGCAAAGAATAAAACCGCTACTTTGAGAGAAACATGGCACTGAAACAATTCTTGATTAAAGCAAGCTGTTGATTCGGTGACCTCCGAAGTAGCGTCGAGTAAAGCTCTCCTCGGAAGATTTTTCATCTTGAACAACACAACGTCCGTTCCGTTCCATGGAATACTCGAGCCAAAATGCAGATTATGCACCAATTGATATTGTACAGTATCCGGCGCAAGGCGACATGACTGCTGCTAATGAGAGGGGCAAGGATGCATTTATCAATTCAGAAAGAATGTACGAGCCAGACATTGGAGGCCCCAAAAACCCACATATTGAAATACTTCGTAATCTTGATGATAGTCAAAATGTGAGATGTCAAACTGCCATGAGACATGGATACATATTAGGAAACGATTGATAACCGTAGGCTGATTGAACGGACAGAAAAATGCACACACAAATCAATAGAGAGCTGACAAGGCAAGAAAGAACGAACGATTGAATCCAATCCAACGGATGGCATATGGATGAGAGCATTCCCAAGAGACGTTGTACAGGAGGAGCGGTGGAAGCTGGACGTTGAGCTCGAGGTTATTTCAAGAGGCACATTATCGTAAAGTGGAAGCTGCAAATCCAACCATGCCAAGACATCGTTTTGTACCACCTTTCACACCTTCATGGATCATTTTTGTCCCTTTCAGCTGTCAATATAGTCGGATGTAATGATTGGATAAAATGACGATTTGATGGAAAGTCTCCATTAATAAATGGATTTCATTGGTTTTTGACTATCAAAAATTATAATTAGAACGAACTAACTAATTGTCTAATTAAGCACGGTAATTAATTAGAACGACCTACCTACCTACCTTCCTATCTATCTAAGTGTTAAACATCTATGTACAGTATTTGAAAACCTGTCACCAAATCTAATCTTCCGCCCTTCTCTTTGCTCTTATCAGCAATTACCTACCTAGCTAGGCAGAGGAAAGCTCATACCCAGCTCAAGTGTACCAGGTATCTTGAGACATCTCTTACCCAAATCAATAGTAGGTCGTCCGAGCTGCAATTTGTGCATACATATGGACGGTATCCGGTATGGGGTTGGTGGAGAATGATCCGCGAGGCAAGGGATACAAAAAGAGGATGCACTCAACTCCAGTCTCACTATGTGATCAATGACCGGCAAACATCCCTCTCAACGAAGTTATCTCGTCCTTATATACCTAGAGGACTAATAATACTTTCAATCGTATTGACAGAAAAAGCTTGAATCAGGGAAATGGAGAAGAAACAATAGATGATCGGAGGACCACGAAATTTAAGGTTTTATGCCGATTCTAATCTGATGCTGACGCTGATGCGAATGCTAATGATATATTGCCGTCTCGACTCCCAAATGAAGAAGTCACGATGATATGGCATCCTTCCTTTTATCGACCATAAGAATCGCAAAGTAAACAAAAACCAAGTCTCTACATTGGTGTTCTCGGCGTTATTCATGAAATACATGCAGAAAGAATGAAGTCTTACTTGCTCGAAAGTTCTTAATCATCCATCATATGCATATCGCTCTTGTGCTCGTTTGCTTCTTTCCATTTCCCCTTCATCAACCTTTCATCAACTTCTCATACCCTCGAAATTCTAGAGTCTTCTACTTTCACACATTCGTTTCGATATCCAAACCCTCTCTATTTACATTGAATCCCATCGAGAAGAACATCATCTCTGTACTCAATATATTGATACATCGAGACTTTGACGTTCAATTCGACTTCAGATCCATCGTTTCATAGAATACCCTTCGAACCCACTGACGAGTACTTGTACCATCTTGTATGCACAACATTTCCATAACCCCACGTTACTCAGAATCACCCCTCAGAGTTCTTCCCACATTACACTGCCGGTACTAAATACATTATGCAGCAATAAATAGCAGTCGGCAAACTCTCCAAGAACCCAAGTAGCACTGCAGTCAAATTCTCGACTTAGGAAGCAAACGCCGTCACATAAGATTTGACTCTTGGAACTTCCAAAAAAGCATTATACTGTTCCATTTTGCTTATTCCAAGATAAGAATCAGGGACCTGCATTTTTCATGCATTTAACTCAGCAATATTGGAATAGGATCTGATCGATATTCGCACTGGAAATCGATCTCTTGTCTAGATACTTGAAGCATCACGATTCTTGCTCGGAGCCTTATCAAAATTGTTGGAGCCTTTCCGCATTTCCTAAACCGATATTAAGGAGAGATAAATCTTCATTCTTTATAGGCCATTGTGTCAAATGGTTAGATTGACTTGACTTGTGGTCCGAGAAATTTAGCGCATCTAGAAGTCTTTGCTCTCTTTCTCCAAGGGTGAGTGGGGAAAGTTGTAAATCCACGAATTTTGAAATTCAACACAATCAACTGGATGGATTGGATTGACTTGGTGCTTTAAGTGAAGATTGAATCATTCGTCAACAAAATCGTCAACAAGCTCGGCCTTGAAGATTCTCCGAGCCGAGTTGTTCTCCTACTCTTCAGACGGGAACTCCACTATAGCAACCCTGCTTATTGTTTGTTTCAACTTGAAGATTTCACAAAATACTTCTCAAAGGAACTATGATTTGAAAGATTGTTGACAAAGTATTCTTCAAGGAAGCACATCCACTCATAGTAAGTATTTCTTGAAGTGTTCATACTCTCTCTTCATCATACAGATGAGATTGAATATCCTCCCGTCTTGATCATTATCTCTTTTATGAGTTTTTTAGAGAAAAGGCAAATAAACATCGCATTCATTCTCTCTTCTGTCTTTGGGGGATACATCCCATTACAGCATGCCCAAAATTATTGCTAACATAATTTCAGACTATCGTTCCTTGACTTGATCACCAAACCTAATCTACATCCTCTTTCAGTCAGCTCGAACCAAGAGTAATTCACTGCCGATGAACGCATCCTAATAAATAAAGAGTTTGAGCAAAAGGTAAGCCATCTATGAAATATTCCAATAGGAACATTCCGAGATTCACTTTCTCTCCCCACCACCCACCTTAGCGTCGAACTCCTCACTCCTCTTCTTCAACAATTTGATTTCCTCAATTTCAAACTTTGATCTTTCTCTCCTCAACACACAACTATTTTACAGCTTATGAGAAGCAACTGTTAATTTGATCAGATCCTTCGTCATAGCATGGAATGATGCTATAAGTTCATGCATTGCAATATTACACCATAATTTTGTACAATTCTCTTGAAGTTGTCAAGTCAAAGCTGCTCGAGAATCCCTCAAGCTGCGCCTTGTTTTAAGAAGTTAAAACTGTGAGTCTTATTTCATTATAACTGCTAACTGCGGTCATCCTTTCAGAAACTAACAAGTATGAATGAGAAGTATTCTTGATACTAATCTCTTTGATTTACTTTAGTAGACCTCTTACAATCTGCCACCTTTGACACAATCAAGTCTCCAACACCTTCCTACGAATTTCTGCAA